CCACACTTGCAGGGAGCCAGGAGGCCATCTCTAGGAAACTAAACAGTAGCTTCTTTAAACCATCAATCAGTAACTGACAGTCTCCCTCATTTTTGACCAAAGTCAAATATGTCACCTTAACCAATCATACAAGGCCATGTCTATTCAGCTGCTGCCAGTGAGGGCATACCTGAACCACCCTTATCCCCAGCAATGCACTCCTCTCCTCTGGCTGCCTCCCAGTCTCTGCCAAAACACAGGTAGAAGGGGCAGACTCCCTTATACAGCAGGATCCAAAAGCCTTTCCTTTTCTCCTTTGGTTTATTTTTCCACAACTGTCCAGATCCACAGAAGGGTTGAGGCTAGACCTGGGTCATGGTTTAAAGGTCTGGGAGGTCAGAATCTGGTAAGGTTCATAGATCTGCTCTTTGATGCCAGAGCCTTCATGCCTCATTTTTCATGTGTGCTCACCCTGCTCTTTATAACAGTAAAGCCAGTGACCACTTGCTAATTGAGGCTAGACCTGGGTGGTCATGGTTTAAAGGTCTGGGAGGTCAGAATCTGGTAAGGTTCATAGATCTGCTCTTTGATGCCAGTAGCCTTCATGCCTCATTTTTCATGTGTGCTCACCCTGCTCTTTATAACAGTAAAGCCAGTGACCACTTGCTAGCTCCATAACAGATTAACAAAAGCTTCTGACTTCCTCCTTCAAATACCAAGTTCCCCGGACTTAGAAACTATGAGTTCACTCCAATCATCTTTGACAGAAATATTCAGCTAGCTCCAGTTGTAACTGACCTATGAAATTGATTTCCAATAATGTCATACTTCTTATTAAAAGATACAGGGTGGTGGCGCACACCTTTAATCCCAGCACTCGGGAGGCAGAGGCAGGTAGATCTCTGTGAGTTCAAGGCCAGCCTGGTCTACATAGTGAGTTCCAGGACAGCTGGGGCTACAGGGAGACCCTGTCTCAAAAAGACCAAGGGAAAAAAAAAAGATACAGGGTGATTATTATTAGAATCCCCTGGGCGGGACCGAGGAATTTTTTGTGTTAGAAAGGCCTCCCAGGAAATGTGATGGCTGTTCAGATTGCTAGATCTGAGTGTGAGAACCCAGAGCACTGTGAGGTCCCTCTTGGGTACCTGTGTACACACTGCACACCCTACTGGTGGCAATGTGAAAGGCAAAACCAATTTGTAATACACGTTTTTCTAAGAGGCTGTTGGGAGGATGAGTACACTCTCCTCTGGAGCCCTCACATCCCCAGGACTCCCAAGATGTCCTTCTGGGTGGGTACCCCCTGACTCCCTCTACGTTGCATGCAGCAGATAATACTTCATTACTCGAACAAGTGGGCCAAACACAGACCTTGTAATATAGATGTTTCTGGATTTTAAAGTAGATTCTTCTTCTAAAATTTTAATTCAGCCAGGTATGGAGATATATACCTGTCATTCCAGCACTTGGGAGGCTAGGGTAAGAATATCTCAAGTTCAAGGCCCTTCGGGAAACTGTTTCAAAACACAAAAACAAAAGTTGGACTTAACTGGGCATGGCAGTATATACCTTTAAACCCAGCGACTTAGTGGGCAGAGGCAGGTGGTTCTCTGTGAGTTCAAATCTAACCTGGCCTACATAGCAAATTCCAGCCCAGCCCAACTTACTTGATGAGAGACCTTGCCTCCAAAAAAAAAAAAAAAAAAAAAAAAGGTATCAAGTGTATCACTGTGTAAAATGATAATGTGAACAAGATGATGGATGTGTTAATTACGCTTGGTCTAAGCACTCCACATTGTACACATACATCAAAGCATCACTTTTTGCTTTTGTGCTTCACAAATGTTCACAATGACAATTCATCAATTAAAATAATATTAATAAAAACATAAAAGAGACTATAAAGTATCTCCTCAGTATTTTATTCTGGTTGCATATTACAGTAATAATATTTTGGAAATGTTGTGTTAAATAAAAAGCACTACTAAAAAATAAGAAAAAAAAATCAGACTCATCTGGCATTTCCATTGGCTTTGTCACGGCAGGTTCCAGGCTGTGAGCAATGCCAGAAACTCAGCTAAATAATACTCTGTGCCATGACGGCCACAGAACTCTGCCAATCTCATACTTAGAACAACGCCTGTATTTTTAATTAAAATATTATTGAACTTGAGAACAAGGAGTGATGCGAAGAAATGTGTTGGGCTGGAAGTTCTCTGTAGTGATCAGGTGTCTTCAGCACCTCTGAGCCACCACAGATGGATGGATTGAAACAAAGCAAGTCTGAATCCATCACTACCTCACCCCAAAGACAACATTTAGGTTGTCTTACTCACTGCCAATGTGTCCTCAATTGTTATTTTAGAAACCAAAGCTGGGCAGCCATCTATTTCTCTTCTTGAAAAAAGAGATGAACTCTGGTCATTTCAGATCCTGTGGATTCAATTCTTTCGTCCAAACACAGTAAGGTGATATAGAGGTGCCTGGCCCACTGTCCTTCTGCTCCCCTCTGCAGAGACCCATGGGACACATGGATGACTACAGCAAGTCGGGGTCAAAGGCTGCAAAAGGGATATTGGTGGCAAAGAGAATGCTCCCTCCATGCCAAGCACACCAGGGACTGTTCTAGGAAGTTCTGTGTCCAGCCGCATGCTTGCTAACCAGC